AAACGATTCTTAATAAGACTGCTGATTTGGATTTGCGTTATTTTCATTTGAAAAAATTCATTTTTCACAGTTTTGTTTAAACTGCTGTATTTTTTAAAGTGTGCGACTTAAAGCGAAACGAAATTCAGTTCACACATCTATAAACGATTCTTAATAAGACTGCTGATTTGGATTTGCGTTATTTTCAATTTGAAAAAATTAATTTTTGACAGTTTTGTTTAAACTGCTGTATTTTTTAAAGTGTGCGACTTAAAGCAAAACGAAATTCATTTCACAAAACTATAAACGATTCTTAATAAGACTGCTGATTTGGATTTGCGTTATTTTCAATTTGAAAAAATTAATTTTTGACAGTTTTGTTTAAACTGCTGTATTTTTTAAAGTGTGCGACTTAAAGCAAAACGAAATTCATTCACACAACTATAAACGATTCTTTATAAGACTGCTGATTTGGATTTGCGTTATTTTCAATTTGAAAAAATTAATTTTTGACAAGTTTTGTTTAAACTGCTGTATTTTTTAAAGTGTGCGATTTAAAGCAAAACGAAATTCGTTTCACAAAACTATAAACGATTCTTAATAAGACTGCTTATTTGGATTTGCGTTATTTTCAATTTGAAAAAATTCATTTTTGACAGTTTTGTTTAAAATGCTGTATTTTTTAAAGTGTGCGACTTAAAGCGAAACGAAATTTAGTTCACACATCTATAAACGATTTTTAATAAGACTGCTGATTTGGATTTGCGTTATTTTCAATTTGGGGAAAAACTTGAATTTTTGATTTTTCCACTTACGACGCGAGCGATCGACGTACTATCATTTTCGGTATTAAAAAAATTAATTTCTAATAGTCAGCTGTCAGATTCACATTAATATATATTAAAAACACATTTTCAAGTGCGTTCAAAGTCTTTAAGCGAAGATAGATCGATTTCGATGTGCAAGCGAAAAATGTAAAAAGTTACATGATTTAAGATATGTGAAATATACATGTTCAGTCGTGTTTAGAATCGTTTCTTGTGGTTCGGGACATTCGCCTTCGAATGTTAAATCGATGTAAAAAGCAGAATTTAAAAATCTTGAAATTTGAAAAAATTCATTTTCCACAGTTTTGTTAAACTACTGTAATTATTAGAGTGTGCGAATTAAAGCGAAACGAAATTCAGTTCACACATTTATAAACGATTCTTAATAAGACTGCTGATTTGGATTTGCGTTATTTTCAATTTGAAAAAATTCATTTTTGACAGTTTTGTTTAAACTGCTGTATTTTTTAAAGTGTGCGACTTAAAGCGAAACGAAATTCAGTTCACACATCTATAAACTATTCTTAATAAGACTGCTCATTTGGATTTGCGTTATTTTCAATTTGAAAAAATTTATTTTCGACAAGTTTTGTTTAAACTGCTGTATTTTTTAAAGTGTGCGACTTAAAGGAAAACGAAATTCGTTTCACAAAACTATAAACGATTCTTAATAAGACTGCTTATTTGGATTTGCGTTATTTTCAATTTGAAAAAATTCATTTTTGACAGTTTTGTTTAAACTGCTGTATTTTTTAGAGTGTGCTACTTAAAGCGAAACGAAATTCAGTTCACACATCTATAAACGATTTTTAATAAGACTGCTGATTTGGATTTGCGTTATTTTTAATTTGAAAAAATTCATTTTTCACAGTTTTGTTTAAACTGCTGTATTTTTTATAGTGTGCAACTTAAAGCGAAACGAAATTCAGTTTACACATTTATATACAATTCTTAATAAGACTGCTGATTTGGATTTGCGTTATTTTAAATTCTGAGAAAAACTTGAAATTTTGATTTTTTCACCGACGACGCGAGCGATTGACCTACTATCATTTTCGGTATTTAAAAAATTAATTTCTTATAGTCAGCTGTCAGATTAACATTAATATATATTAAAAACACAATTTTAAGTGCGTACAAAATCTTTAAGCGAAGATAGATTCATTTCGATATTGAAGCTAAAAATTTAAAAAGTTACAATCTATAAAATATGTCAAATAAACATCCTCAGTCGTGTTTAAAATCGTTTTTTGTGGTTTGGGACCTTCGCCTACGAATGTTACATCGATGTACAAAGCAGAATTTAAAAATCTTGCAATTTGAAAAAATTTATCTTTGACAGTTTTGTTTAAACTGCTGTATTTCTTAAAGTGTGCAACTACTAGCGAAACGAAATTTACTTGACACATCAATAAACAATTCTTAATAAGACTGCTGATTTGGATTTGCGTTATTTTCAATTCTGAGAAAAACTTGAAATTTTGATTTTTTTACCGACTACGCGAGCGATCGACGTACTATCATTTTCGGTATTTAAAAAATTAATTTTTTATAGTCAGTTGTCAGGTTAACATTAATATATATTAAAAACACAATTTCAAGTGCGTTCAAAGTCTTTTAACGAAGATAGATTGATTTCGATGTTGAAGCGAAAAATTTAAAGTGACAAGCTTTAAAATATGTCAAATATACATGCTCAGTCGTGTTTAAAATCGTTTTTTGTGGTTCGGGACATTCGTTTACGAATGTTATATCGATGTACAAAGCAGAATTTAAAAATCTTGAATTTTGAAAAATTTTATCTTTGACAGTTTTGTTAAACTGCTGTATTTTCTAAAGTTTGCAACTACTAGCGAAACGAAATTTACTTTACACATCTTTAAACGATTCTTAATAAGACTGCTGACTTGGATCTGCGTTATTTTTAATTCTTAGAAAACTTGAAATTTTGATTTTTTTATTAACGATGCGAGCGATCGACGTACTATCATTTACGGTATTAAAAAAATTAATTCATTATCGTCAGTTGTTAGGTTTACATTAATATATATTAAAAACACAATTTCAAGTGCCTTTAAAGTCTTTAAGCGAAGATAGATCGATTTCAATGTTGAATCGTAAATTTTAAAAAGTGACAAGCTTTAAGGTATTATAAATATACATGCTGAGTCGTGTTTACAATTGATTCTTATTGTTTAGAACATTCTTAATCGAAAAATATATTTTCAGAAAAAGCAGAATTCGAAAATTTTAAGAGAATTAATTTTGACCGATTTATTTAAGCTACTTTTTTTTTTAATCGTACAACTACAAACTAAACGAAAATCACTTCTCACAATTAGAAACGATATTAAATAATACTGCGTATTTGTATTTGTTTTATTTTAAACTCTGGTTTCGATTTTTACATTGACGAGGCTTGCGATTGAAATGCTGTCGTTTTTCGTATTAAAAAGTTAATTTTTTTAATTTATGTACTACATTATGTTAATATATTAAAGACACGTCATTGCCAAGTACGAATATAAATCTTTAAGTGAAGATAGATCAATGTCGATTTCGAATCAAAAAATTTAAAAAGTGTCAAACTTTTAGATATTTAAAATTCACATGCTTAGTCGTGTTTGGAATTGATTCTTATTGTTTAGAACATTCTCAATCGAAAAGAGAATTGACTTTTTTGATAATTTTTCGACATTTGTTATAGTCGTTAGAATGCTGCGTTATTAAAAGTTAAAATTTATTTATATTTACAGAATAAATTATATATCACAAATTCAGGAGAAACTGGAAAAAGGCAAGTTAAAGAAATTTTGAATTTAATCCTATTTAAATTTTCTGCAATCGCAATTGTCATGCAATCGCAAATTAAATCTTCATTGAGAAATATCTGATTTGGATATAATATTGTATAATAACACTTTTTAATAACTATAATTAAGTTGAATATATGTATTATGTAAAAAAATTTTTATAATTATTTGAACGCTTAAATGTTGAGCACTAAAATTTTTTTTTCGGGGAAGGACTTACTGTAATAATTTTTTTTTAATAATTAATATTAAAAACTAATTTTAGGAAAGATAAATCTAACCTGAGGAAAATAAAACTAACCTCAGGAAAAATAATATTAGGAAAAATAAAACTAATATTAGGAAAAATAATACTTAGGGCTACTAGCGCGCGCTTTTTCGTCGCTCTAGTGAGAAAACAAAAATTGTGTTGAAAAGAGGAAAGTCTACATTTTTTAATAAATATAAATAATCTGTTTCTATAGTTTCTATAGTTTATTTTATTGATTAAAGGAGTAATAAAAAAAGTGCTAATATAATCACATAAACTAATGATAAATATTTTCAACAGTGCTATATTTAATAGCAGCTATTAAAAGGATGATCAATAACTATAAAAATGACATGTTAGAAAAAATTTTTACGAGTTTTTGAAAAAGAATAGAATTTTATATAAATTCAAATTGTGCGCATTATTAGTTTACATATGTGATTATTAGCACTTTTTATTATTTATTTTTATCATTAAAATAAAGTGATATACAAATATTTTATTTATAGCCATTAAAAACTGTAGACATTCCTCTTTTCAACACAATTTTTATTTTCTCAATAACTGCATACAGTAAAAAATAACAGCTGATTAGTTTTAGCAATTTCCTATATGGAATACTCTGTAATAAACGCTATTATTATGTGAATCGAGGCGTCGATCGGAAATTCGTATATTATATGTGCATGATAGAAAATCCTAATCACAACAGTATACACATCCTAATAATTACATTTACATTTATTTATTTATTTATAAACGGAAAAGATATAGATTCCCTTTGATATAAAAGAAATACAAAATATCAACAGAAGACACAATTAAACTAAGAAATAAAAAATATAAAATAACTAAGACACTCAATCATTACATACACTATATTAACGCTATCATTAATTCTCGCCTAAAGGAGCTAAAAAATGCTTGAAAAAAATGAACTCTATATCGGGAAATTGATTTGCCGATAAGCCAAATAATAAAATATTCGCGGATTTTGCTCCGGGAGAAGACGTTCTCCAGTCACGCTTCAAATATTCCAAACGTGGCGCGAAAGGTGACGTCACATCCCGCTGGACCAATGCGCGCGGAGCGTGACGCGGCGCGCATGTCTCGTCGCCGGTCGCCGCAAGGTCGGGGTCTCGCTCGGGCTCGAGAGCGCGCGATGCCGCCCGTCAGTCGCTCGAAGCCGGTCGTTAGTTCGCGTTGGTCTGCCCGAACACGGGCGGCGGGCAGGTGTTGTTTCCGTGACTCGTGAGAGAGGGAGAGAGAGAGAGAAAGAGGGCGAACGGGGTGAAGTGTGATCGAGCGGTACACGTCAAAGTGCTCCCAAGTTTTTCGATCACGGAATGGCAGCGGTTTCGTGCCGGGCGATATTCGTCGTGAGATGGTGCGAGATGAGCCGCGTGTTGACTGCCACATCCTGCCTGACCGCGACGAGGAGGTACCGAAAGGTGAGTCTGTTGACATACATGTACATAGGGTTACGAATAAGGTCGCAACTGCGACGCCTTCTTTCGTAGCAGGATTTGCAGTGACAGGCGCATCAGCGATTTCGTAGAAATAGTTTTCTCGCTAGGAGCGGCAGAAACCGAGAAATATTACGCTTATCTCTGTTTATTTTGTTTGAATGTGCAACTTTTATATTTGCCGGATTAGAGAGTGTTAGAGAGAAGGGATATTATGCGCGTTGGGGCTCAGGTATCACCCCATCCTGCTCGTTAGCTGTGATAGCTGGTTGTAATATATGCATTACTAGGAATATCCTGCTTCTCCCACTTTCATTCAAACGAACGTATCACTCTTCGATACGAGTCCCTCCTTCGCGTGCAACTTCACGCAGTCTTTATCGCACACGCGTCTTTGGAAACACGCAACGTCTTTAACGTGACACAATATTTCTCCTCGCGGCGAAATCAACACAAATTTCTACAATGTTAATAAAACCGGTATTAAGAAGATGAGATCACGATTTTAACGGGATTCAAAAAGAATGGTTAAATGCTTAAAAAATATCTTACTTTTTTTCTGTATTTCTCATTCAAAAATTATTTGTCCGGAGAAGAAATTAATGATTATTTTAAATCAAATTAGATAATTAAATTGTATAATGAAATATTTGATATGGCAGAAGTAAATCAAATTTTTTGTGAATTGTTAATTACTTCATTTTAATTCATTAAATCATATAATCATATTATTATCATTCTTAATATTTATTGCAATATTTTTAATATTCATTGCAATTGTATACATGATGATTTCAAATAGTTTTATAATCGGTACTTAAAGATACGTGAAATGAGATAACATAATACATAAGTAAACAGATGAATGTACGTTCTTTCTCTTTTGTACAATATAATTAACGCGAAACATTCATAATGTATGTACCAGGAAAAATTATCTCTATTTTTTATCTTGTAATCTTCTCTATTTTATATGCATTTTCTTTATCTTGATGTAATATTACAGTAAAAAAAATATTTGAGAAACTTTTCTATAAAGATAGAGATATTTTTCTAAAGTTTTTTCACAGAAAATTATTATGTAACATATAATTCAAAGAAGATTTCTACATTGGCTTTGTTACAGGTGCATGCACTAATATACGGATGGAGAAATATGAAAAAAAATTGGAATAAAAATATAAAAAACCCGTTTTTTTAAATAAAAAATACACACGAAAAATTATGCCCATAAATATTGAACATTCAAATCATTTTGATGCATTTGCAACGTAAAGAAATGTAAATAATTCCATACTGGTTATTATTTTTTTAGTTGTCAAATTATGAGAAATATACAAATTCTATGTAAAATTTTATGCTGCTGTAATATAATGTTATCATTCTTCTGCCTGCATGAAATATATGTGGTTATGAGATAAAAAGCAAATACGCACGCATTCCGCGCATGTGTCCATGCGCGTTCTTCTTGCGCAGATTATATCCGCAGTACATCGGCATTAATCTGCGTGTAATAATTGTGAAATAAAGTGGAAAATAAAATTTTTTAACTTTCCCATTTTATTTTATATTTTTTAATATGAATATATTCCTATAAATTTAAAGTATAAGACAGGCGATGAATATATTCCGTTCTTATTGATATATATCCTGTAATATATTTCTTACTAACATAAAAATCATAAAACGTGCTATCGTTTATATACATATACTAGTAAATATGAAAAATATAATTTCTAATAAATAAATTGTCAAACGAATTAATATTATCAAATGTAATATAGTACACACATATTAAATGTTTATTTTTTATCGTATAATCTAATGATTTCTTTCCGACATTTATTTTCAGATCTAATAATAGAATCTTTAATTTTTATTTTGTTTATTTTTAATAACATTTTTAATAACGGTTTGCAAACATTGCGTTTTGATTTAAAGCTATCCAATTAGTAGAATTTTTGTGGTAACAAGCAACACTACTTTAATCTCGATGGATATTGTAATTCCGATTATTTTGCCGGTTTTACCGGTTTTCGATCGTTTACTCGAATTTCCGAGCACGTTGCACATTGCATGTTGCATTTTTTATACAAAAGCGAATCGCTATTTTTCAAGCTGCACTGAATGATCCCGGATCCATTTTCCGCACTGTCACTAGAGGAACATTTTAACGCCGAAAAATAAATATCTACACATACATGAATCAAATAGCGTCGTTACTTTAGCACTATCCATCTACTGATATTTCATCTGACTAATAGCTACTTCGGTGCACATGCGCGTATATTAAAGTGCATAACGAGAAATTTGTCGTGTCATGGCTAAAATGGGTAAGAAAATAGAGCAGCAGGCAAAATATAGGTCAAGCATATTGTATTGCTAAGGATATTGCAATTTAATCATGATAGGACATGCTGCTTCACATGCTTTTGGTGAGAATTCTAAACAATCTCCATTCTGTAATTTACAAATGGGAGAGGTTGCACAATTACTATAATTTGCAATTAGCATTATCTATTCTTTAAAATAGAATTTTTGTTTGAACGCAACTAATTAAATATACAATAAGAATAAAATTACGAGCATAATATAAATTAATTATATAAAACTCATATAGAATTTGAAATAAATGAAATGAAATAAGGAATTGATTAAATTGAAAATTATTTGTAGAAAAATGTAATGACTAGAAATTGAACGAACATATAATATTATAACATATGCGAGAGACATGGTATTTGACAGATTGTTTCCTATTTTTTTCAATAGTCTCCAAAATAAAATTAATTAAAAAGAGTAATGTAGTTTTAGTAAAAAAATGGCTTAAAAAATATAAAACATTTTAAAGAAATATTTGGTATTTTAATATAAACCAAAAATGTCTTGCTTAGGTTAGTTACTTGAATTGCTGTCACTAATTTGGCCAGGATCCAGAATCCTGCAGGTGAAGTGTTATAACTCTCGAGAATTCCAAGATCTCGAAGGTACTTTCAAGCGCTTGCATTGATGCGCGGCTCGTTCGTGTCACATCTGTCGGTTAAATGTCAAGCGAGATAAATCCGTCGCGGTATCTTGATATCTGCGCGGCATTTATAAATATTCAGAGTTACGAAAATATGTCACATTTCTCAATGTTATTACGTTTGATCGTGGAAATATTTTAATTAAGTTTTTTTCGGCGACCTTGTAAAAAAAACGATATCTTAGAATAACTATAAGATATTTTCAAGAAGTTACCTTTTAACATTTACTAAAATTTTACATATGATTTTTATTCCAAGTTCCTAAGTTATTCATGCCGAAAATGCAACTGATTTTTACGTCATTAAATTAACACGTAATCGAATTAAAAAATGATTTTTCAATCGACAAATTCAGTCTTGTAAAGCTCGAACGGATGATCGTTATAATTTTTTTAATTATTCAGGAATTGTTAATTATACATTAATCATTAATTATGCATTTAAAAATCTTAATAAGAATATTCATTGTTTTATTTTCTCTTTGTATGAAATAATTCAGGAAAGGATTATAATTATTGATTCGATGGATATGATTCAAAATAAAAACATCGCTCAATGTGTAATTCCTTTTTTCTTATTCTATTTTTGTTTTATGATTTTTTTATTAGAAAAATTATACGATAATTAAAACAATATAACAGGTTTATTAAAAAATTGTTGAATAAAAAAAAATTTTTTTTTTACTCATTTTTCACTAGAAATGTTAAACGACGTCATAAATCTCATTAGAAATTCGGAGAAAAGTTTCATTTCATACGTTATGTAAGCACGTCACTGTCAATCTTTTACATTGTAAAACGAATTGCAAATTCCACTGTGAAAGTCTACCAGAAATGAATACGGAATGATGTATAGTATATATATAATTTGATGACTCATCTCGTAGTCGCGATACGCGTGTTATATCGTCATCTAATAGTAGTTTACAATGAAAGATTACGTTTTTACTTTAGATTGGTATTTCATTGAAACACCGCGGATTTTTTCCTGTAACCTAATTACAAACTACCTGACATTTCGCAACAATTGCGTCTGACTGTTCCTCTTGGAGAGAATGCATTCTCTCCCGGATTGTTTTGCGCAAAGAGAAATAAATGAAACAACAGTAGAAACTTTCTGTTAATTGATAGTGCATGACCTGATTACCTTACGATCAATTTAGTTTTTGAATTGAAAAAAAAAGTTTCGACTATCCTGAACTTATATTCCGATGCCCTTCGATTAAATTGCTATCAGACCGGATCAATCTCGTAGCACTTTGTACATACCGTGTAATATTTGATCTAACAATCACAAAAAGAGGCAATTTTCGCCAATCGATTCCGTCAATCTATTCTCGTGCATGTATCCGGTATAACGGCTGATCTGCATGAAATTGTTGACTCATCCACTCATCCAAGTGACAGACGTGTTCGAAGACGTTCGTGACACGCATCATATGCGAAGTCGTTGACGCTATATGCGTAGACGAAGGTTAATAGCATTTATTTCCGTTCCATTTATCTAAATAGCTTGATTTTTCCCGAAACTGCATTTTAAATGTAGGTAGATTCATAGATTCTTAAAGTAATTGCATTTGTGATATACAAAATATAAAGAAATATTTTAAAAACACATTTATTAATCATATTTATTTATAATTATATTATTAATATTTATAATTATATAATTATATATATCATATTAACATATTTATTAATCATGCGACAACTACCATTTACATAATATATTTTCATATATATTAATTTTTCATATAAAATATATGAAGAGTTTTGCAACACGTGAAATTGCATATCAAGCTAAATATATTAATTGAATTAGTTAATGAAATGTAATTAGCTAATTTAATTAGTTTATTAAATGATAAATGGAAATGGAATAATAATATAAGCTTTAATATATTAATGCATGGTATTATTAAAGAGAGTTTTATTCTATAAATTTTTTCCATAAAAATTA